TGATTAAAACATTTTAAGAAGCTTAGTACATTTAAAGAAAATAACTAAGTCTACAGTTAAAAAACAAAAGAATTAAATAATAATGTGTGTTATTAAAAATATCAAAAAAATCCATTCACTCAAAGCTGCCACCCGGAAGTTTATTTACCAAAACAAAGCAATTTAAACACTGTAGCAATTTTTTTATCCCTATTTTGCCTTATTTATTATACAGGCATTATGCTTAATTAATATCTAATGCAAAAAACCAGAACTGTTTCTTATATGAATCAAAACAAACATCTCTAAGGAGAGAGCACACTCTCACCCGCAGAACAAAAGACTTTTTTAAACAATTATCAAAACCTAACTAAATTATTTTAATAGATTTAAGACATTTCAAAAAATAAATAAATTCTACTGTTAATAAACAAAAGAATTAAATAATAATGTGTATTAGCAAAAATATCAGAAAAATCCATTCATTCAAAGCTCTGCCACCCAGAAGCAATTTAACAAAAACAAAGCAATTTAAACACACTGAAGCATTTTCTTTATCATTATTTGAACCTATCTATAATACAGGCATTATACTTAATTAAAATCGTACGTAAAAAACAACAACTATTTCTAATTTGATTCAAAAGAAACACTATTTTTAAGGCGAAAGCACTCACCCACAGAACGTACGATTTTTTTTACACAATTATCAAAACCTTACTAAACTGTATTATTATTATTGGGACATACATAAAAATAAATTAATTCTACTTTTAGTAGATATAAGAATAAAATAATAACGTGTATTCCTAAAAATGTCAGCAAGATATTAAAGTTTCAATTCTGCCACCCAGAAGATAATAATCATAAAACAAAGCTATTTCATCATATTTAAAAAAAAATTGACAATTATTTTGACTTATTTATGAAGCAGACATCACAGTTAATCTAATTTACTAAGATCTAAACAAAAAACATCAACAATAATATAGTATGAATCATAATAAACAACATCTGCAAAATGAAACAGAACTTACTCACCACCCATAAAAATGTGAATTTTTTTCGTATAAAGACAGTCATAACTTAGCCAAAACTTACTATAAAGTATATTAGAACTCTATTCTACACGAAAATCGACCGTTAATACTTCAATAATTTAAGGAAAATATAAAATTTGCTAATTTATTACAAAATGACATCAAAATCCCATAGACTTACATTAGAGTGCTCGCCGCCCAATTGATTGTAAACAAAGATCGTGACGTCACGCGCCCGTGCCCCATTCGAGCGTTGCAATGGATGGTGTTTTCTACACTAGGGAACGCTGCAAGCTCGGGACTGCCTGAATTTCCGGGTTACTGTTTCAGTTGTATTTTAAAGCCATTTGGCATCATTGTGTTTTGAGATTCTTGCAAGCAATGTATTTGATTACTTATTACTTATGCTTACTATGTTAACAATACTTGTGTTTACAATACTAAAAGTGTTAACACTAACGCAAGATGGTACACAGCTTGCAACACTAGCAAACAGTAATAAACAAATAGAAAAAGGCCAAATCAAGACTGCCAAAAAAGCGAGTTATTCAAAATCTAGCAACCATGTCACCTTTTTTAATAATAAATAACAAAATAACTATAACACATTTTCACTCCAAACTCCCCAGGATTACATAATAACATTAATATCTTATGAAAGACGGCAGATTTGAGCTCAGAAATTATCTAATTTATTTCTTTTATTGAAAACAAAATTATCCGTTTGAAAACATCGCCTATCAGAATAACATGTAGTAAGCAGCTGCAAACTTTTTAACCGGAACTAGAGTAGGTCCCGAGCTCGAGATTGTTTACATTTCTATTGAAAACACCATCCATTGCTTATATTTTTTAAAAAAAAATCGCATACGCGACTTTGTAGATGCAAACGAGATTGTATTACTCAAATTAGTTTCTCGAATTTGCAAGTGCGATTTTTCAAATAAAGTGCAAACGTTCCTTTAATTTTTCTCATGAATTTGGGTAGTAGTGAAAATTTATTTACATCGCACCAGAGCTCACATAAGCATTCATACTGAAAGCAAAAATCCCCATGTGCGATTTCGGAGATGCGAGAAAGAACTTGAGTGGTAACATTCACACACGAAAAACTCGTCAATCATGTTCACATCCACATCTTCCGATTTGCAATTTTTCCATGTTCCATATACATTTTTTTTTGCATGCAGTGTGAATGCTCATGTGAAAGTTTTCAAACTACATAAAATGTTGTGTTGCTATTGTTTCTAATGCTACTTGCCAATCTAGGAAGCCTACTTGGTGAAACAATGCATTTTTAGGGCTGAGGATGCGTTTCTTGATTTTTGGTGGTGCCATCTACGGTCAGAAATACGCTTTAGCCCCACACACGTCACAACCAGTTTATAAGACGGACCCATTCATACATCTATTCATTCAACCACAGATCGTAATTTTGAACTGAACCAGAGAACGACCAATCTCCAATTCAGTACTCTCAGAGGTTTGATTAATTATGGGAAAATGAAGGACTTGCACCAGTCACCATTTACTACCGTCTTCGGCCGGTGGGTATCAAACTCACGACTCTTTGGATATGGACCCAATGCCCAATCAACCAGGCCTCCACTACATAATATATAACAATGGAGTGAACTGGTCAAGTGTCTTTAGTAGCACCTTTTTTCAGTTCTCGGTTGGGTCGGTATTCGATTTTCGATTGCAATTAACAATCAAGAGCAAACGCTCTCACCTTCGGCAGCTTTTCGAAAAATGTATCAACGGTTAAATTTATTAATTTTTGGGCCTCTGTGGGTACTTTTGAGCTCAATATTTTTGCATAACTTGTTAAATAATAAAAATTCCTAGACTTTTAAGAACCATTTTATAGAATGAAATATAAAATAATGCATAAGCTTTATGATTAGTTCCAGTTTTATTGATAGTTTTTAAATTTTGTTGACTGAAAGTAAAAGTTTTATCGTATATAAGTAATTAAAAATAGATTATAGGAAATACTAATAAGTGTTTCTATCGATTATTTTTTTTTAAATTTTCAATTCAAAATTCAGAACATAAAGTTGAAGTAAACCAAAATGAATTATTTTTATTAAATTTAATTTTTTGTTCTTAAACTACCTAGTTTTACGCAAAATTGCCTACACAAGGAAGGAAAAAAAATGTGAAGTATCACAAAAAATACATTCATGCATTTCGTGTCATTAATAGTTAACGTTTATTCACTTTTATTTTTTCTCCTGATTGAAGATTGATCTTTACACTATATAGAGTATATTTTTGCCATTGTTTTATGTGGTAGAATTTTAGAATGTTGATTAAATATTTTTATCAACCTGCAGATAATGGGATATGAATATTCCAAACATTTTTAATTGATTTGATGAAAAATGATAAACACTCCAAGCCTTTTAGTTGCAGTAAAATGTTTCGAAATTTCTTCAATTTAATTCTTTCATATATTTCATGTAAAAAGCATGAGAAAATAGATATTTTTAAAACTTCAATCCAGAGTCTGACAGCAATTAGAACTTAATACATTTTTTTCTTCTTTGCTCGGTATTGTTACAGTCCCTGGCCAAATTATTAGACGCACTCTAAGCTTCTATGTAAAATCTTAATTATCAGGAGATACTTATACATATTTATTGTGTTCACGCGCGACTGAAATCAGTTTATACTTGGTTACGTTCATGTATTAATTGGTTAAATTAGGCGATATATAATATAAATTCGACGATTGGATAAATTAGACGATATATTATATAAATATAGAATATTTATGATATCAGGTATTATATTATAATAATTAGATCAAATTATTAGACGCACAGTAGTTTTTTAATAATTACATGCTTTGCACGAGTTTTTAAGCAATACTTTTATATCGAAACATATGTGTAATGTAATGGGTTTTTATTCCGGAGATTTTTATATGCTTCCTATTTGTATTTATTTTTAATGTATTGCATCACAATATTAACCAACTGATACACGAACGTAAGCAAGTGCAAACCGGTTTCGGCCTCGTAAAAACAATAAAGCTGTATATTATCAACTGACTATAAGATTTTACATAGAATCTTATAATGCGTCTAATAATTTGGTCAGGGACTGTAAATGATGTTGAAGGGCCATTGTCCCTATTCACTAGTGTTTTCTAAGCTCAAAGGCCATTGACGCTTACACATATGCCATATATTTCCCACGCAAATGTTTTTTAAAGTTAGGGATCATTGTTCTATACGCTGTTACTTTCCTTTAATGTTAAGGGCCATTACCTAATATTCTGTACGCTGAAATTTTTCTTTATCTCTCTTAGGTGTAAAATATGTAGCTACTTCTGAGCAAAAAATTAAATTAACATGCTCTTAAAAATAACGAATTTCCGAGCGAAAAAACTAAAATAAATATATCAAAATTATTCCCAAATTCTGAAATCGAAAATATATTTTATCTGTTGTGTCTTTCAAGAGAAAAAAGTGGACATGCTTGTCTATATTTCCCCATCTGTAAGAGAAATGAAAATTTCTCTCTCATAGGCAGAATTCCTATAGTTGAAAAGCTAATCTAGGAACGTGGCTGGTTTCTGAATACTGCTTCTCTATCGCGTATCAAGTTGACCAACTGCTTTGCTTCAATGATGAAAACTAAAGCTTGAGGTTCGTGTGTATGCAGTAAAAACTTCTTAATAATACATATTATAAAAATAAGTTTTCTAACAAGTATGAACAAAGCTGTGTTTATTTAAAGAATTTCTACGTAAAAAGGTATTGTTACATACAATACATGAATAAGGTTTCTCATCTGTGTGAACACGAAAGTGATTAGTTAAAAGTTCCTTTCGAGAAAAACTTTTATCACATATACTACAGGCATAAGGTTTTTCACCAGTATGAGTCAGAATGTGAGTAGTTAGATGACTCTTCGATGAAAATCTCTGATTACATACAGTACAAGGAAATTTTTTTTCTTTAGTATGAACACGACTGTGAGCAGTTAGTTCACTCTTTTTTTAAAAAACACTTATTACATATACTGCAAAAATAAGGTTTTTCACCAAACACGACTGTGGAGAGTTAGAGCTCCTCTCTGCGAAAAACTCCTATTGCATACACTACATAAATAAGGTTTCTCACCTGTATGCACTCGAGTGTGGGCAGTTAGACTACCCTTCTGAGAAAAATTCCGATTACATATAGAACAAGGGAAAATCTGCTTTTTGCTATTAACACAAGTGTGAATAGTTAGATTAATCTTCTTTGAAAAACTTCTTTTACATAGACTACGATTCTGATCACTATGAACATGGCTGTGAACAGAATAAGAATCACTACAATCAGCATGAATATTATCATACTCTGAAACTTCACTTTTTGTTAAAGAACTCATATTATACAATTACAATAAAAGCTTGGATTGAATTGTGTTTAATCCCTAATTATGTATTATCAAAATGTAAATTACAATGTAATTTGTAAATTTTCGTCACTGGGGGTACTCTTTAATATAAACGAAAGAAAAATATTTGTATTTAAATGCTGAGAAAATCTCTTTTAATGCAAGCCCGCAAATGGATTCATTTAAGCAGTATTCAAAAATCTTATGTACAAGAAAATTTCTTTTGAAAGTAAAATGTTTTTGTTGTTTATTTCTGCTCCCCTTTATATATGCTTTCGAAGCCATTCTCTTCTAAAATAAGCTTTAAATGAAACAGAAATAGGTGGCAGTGAACGGTTACAATCAATTGATTGATAAGTAATCTATCAATTTTTTGCAACCAAAATACAAAATAAAAATTATAACTAATTTTGTAATATGCATTTAGATCTGAGAGCATCATGCGTCAGAAATATCTTACGTTAACGTTGCAAGAAGCCATTCAGTATATGGAAAGCTTCGATAATATTGAACATTCCGAAAATGATGAAGTCTTATGTCTTCTACCTGAACCTTTTGCCGACACAGATGAAGAAGAAGATTCGAATGAAAATGATTTGGGTGATATTCAGCCAGTAGATGCCAGTGAAAATGTTGTAATATTGACGAAAAGAAATGAAAGTGAAACTGAAGCGGAAATAAAAACTGAACAGCAAACGACTAAACACAAGGAAAAAAATAGTGAGGGCAGTGTATTGTCAAGTGTACTGCAAAAGAGGAAGATTTCTCTATTTTCAGACACAAGTAAGAGGAGAAAAATTATTGATAATAATACCTTAAATGAAACTGAAGAGAGGGAATCAACAAATATAGAAAAAGAACCTATATATGATTGGAATCAAAACGGAGATATTTTACCAATTGAAAAAGAAAGTATTTTAACTTTGGAGGAAACTCATCCTCAATTGTTTTCTCTTAGCCCCTATGAACTCTTTCGCAAATACTTTGATGATGATATGCTACAGTTTATTGTTGATGAAACTGTTCAGTATGCTCGACAGAAAGATGATTTAAATTTTAATCTAACAATAAAAGATATGGAGAAATTCTTAGGAATAATACTGTTTACTGGTTATCACCATTTACCGCAAGAAGATATGTATTGGAGTAGAGCGGATGACTGTAACATACCTCTGGTATACGAAGCGATGTCGAGGCAGTATTTTCGGGATATAAAGAAATATCTCCATCTGTGTAACAATGATTCACTTGATCTTCAAGATAAGCTTGTACAAGTTGGGGGATTCTTAGAAATGTTTTGCCATAGACTTCAGCAATTTGGAATATTTTCTGAAAATTTAAATGTAGGAGAAGAAATGATCCCGTATACGGGAAAACATTTTGCAAAAATCTATTCAAGGAACAAGACCGTTAAGATCGGTTTTAAACTTTGGGTGTTAGCTTCGTCCGACGGCTACCCATTCAATTTGAAAGTGTTTACAGGGAACGAAAACATGCCTGATAATGGAAATCAGTTACCTTTGGGTACTAGAGTTGTATTTGATTTGATTCCTTGTGTGACAAAGCCTAAATGTCATACTATTTATGTTGACAGTTTTTTTAATTCTTTGACCTTGCTGAAAGAAATGCGAGATAAAGGATTTAGAGCAATAGGAACAATCAGAGAAAATAGGCTGCAGGGATGTCCTCTAAAGGAATCTGAAGAAATGAAAAAAGAAGACCCGGGTGCATTTGATAAAATGTCCACAAAAGAAATTTTGGTTGTTAAATTTAATGATAATCGTGTCATTTACATGGCTTCAAATTTCGAGTCAATTGGACTTAATGGAAAAACAAGAAAGTGGTGCCTGGATAAAAAGAAAAAAATCGAAGTGTATCAACCTCATATTGTGACTAATTATAATGCCAACATAGGAGGTGTCGATTTGCTCGCTCGATCTTTAAATCAATTCCGTCCCAAAATCAGAGGGAATAAGTGGTGGTGGCCATTCTTCATAAATACAATAAACATTGCAGTAGTGGCTGCTTGGAAAATAAAATGCAAAGGGGGAGAGAAATTATCTTTACTTGATTTTTTGAGAAATGTTACCTATGCACTTATAAAAAAAGAAGACTGTAAACCGCCCCGCCAAACTGGGCCTTCGCCAATTCAATGTAATGATGTGCGATTTGATGGGGTAAACCACTTCATAGAAGGTGGTCATAAACAATCTAGGTGTAAATTTTGCAAGAAAAATACTCGTTTACGGTGCATTAAATGCAAAATAAACCTACATAAGGAATGTTCATATAAATATCATACAAAATAATAATGTTAAAATTAAATAAGTTCTTAAAGATTAAAATAATTTTTACTTTTATGTTGATTTATTATATTACTTATGTTTCTAATTTATATTTGATGCAAAAACTTTTTTGAATATCTTATGGCAGAGGGTCTTTTGTCCTTACTTGAAAAGTCCTTAAGGATTAGAAAAATGACTTTTATGTTTACCTAACGTTCTCTGCCATAATTCTTATTATTGGAGCAAGCTGCAAAAATAAATTTACTGTTTTGTAAATTTCTTTTTTCAGTTTCACATGCATATTATTAAAATTTTTTTTTTAAAATATATTATTTTGTCCTTTGATTTATGGTTTAATATAGTTAATGGGTTAAACCTTTGGTTAGGGGCCATTTGAATAGTGTGTGTAATGAACTTTTTGGTGTTTTTTCACCCTTCTCTTTCTATGCTGATGCACGATTCTGAGCTTTAGCACTAATGTAATTTTAAGAATTTTTATGATAGTGGGAGTAAAATTTCACATTTCAATCAATTTCTTTAAAATTTTTTTGTCTGTTGTAATAAGAAGTATTATTTTTAAAAGAATAAGAATAGCCCATTATTATTGAAGACTGTCTACCTCTAGCTATAGATGACTGATAGCATTCAAGTTGAATATTACCAACTGTATTTTAGGAATTCCATGAACTATTCCTTATCATCATGAGAAATTATTTGTATTTGAAAAAACTTAAAAATAATGTTAGGTCGAAGAATATAAATATCCACATTGAAGATTTTTTAAAAAATTTATTTATAGTTTATTTTAAAATTTTATTATTATTTTTTTAAATTATTAATTTTCAAATTTATAATTTGAAATTTGCAACAATAAAGCAACTTTAGTGTCGTATATAAGGATTGCTCAGATCAGTCACTTCCCTTATCAACAAAAATAAGCAAAGCGAGATCCTCCTTGGGTACTTACGTAATATTTTAATGACCCTTTACAGCTAGCAAATTAAAAAGGGATAAAATAAAATAGTATTTAAATAAGATGATTTTATTTATAATAGCAAAAATTACAATCACATTAAAGAAAAATTTATGTTCTCATAGGAACTCTGCTATGACCACCAATTCATAAGCTGTAATTACTATCCCATAAGTGCAAGGTTATTTCAATATTTATAAATTTCTTAATGAACTTTCAGTTTTAGCAATCACTATTTTTTATTAAGATTGTTTTTTATTAATAATATGCATGTGTTTTTTTGTTCCCTTTTTTTGTTGTTGCTTCTTTATGGTTTTTCAAAATAATTTTGATGTTTTTAATATATTGTTATGATATAAGAATTCCAAATTTGAGTTATCACTTTTTGACACGTTTTCCATTTCACTTGGTTTGATGGTAGTTCATTTGGCAGTTACTAATAATCTTTTGGCTCTTTTCACATGGTTTTTCAAATTTTGCTATTTTTAATACATTGTTATTGCAATTTCGATTCATCACTTTCTGACGCCTTCGCTTTGTGACAGTTCAATCATAATGTCACATTGCTTGATGACTCTTTTTACCAGAAGCTTTTTTTCATATTTATTAATTTTTTTTTAATAATTTTCACGTGGATTTGCAAATTTTGATTTTTTGAATAGAATGTTATTAGAAGGTTTTAATTTGGGTTGTGGCAGACTATTTTCAGACTTTCTGTGGACAAACTTCCATAGCTCTCATTAAAAAAATTAAAAATCATGAAATCCTTAGCACTAACTACCAAAAGAGAGATCAACAACAAAATCATGCAAATTGGACTCTTTATAAAGAGTTTCTTTTAATGTGGTTTAATTTTAGCTTTCGTTTGATATTCCTATCGATATTAGCTTGTTGAAATAAATAATATCGTATTAATAATTATTAATTTGTAATAAAAATTAGGTTGAAATCAGTAACAATAATAGCTAATAAATAATAACCACATTTATAAACTATATTAATACTTATCGATTTCAGCATCAAAATCGTTAAGTAATGATCAAAAATTTTTTAAAAAAATCATCAAATGGTTTTGAAGATACCACTTACACCAAAAAGTGATAAATATAGAATTATTTTGTTGAATAATTATTAAACAATCTGAAGTCATTAGTTTTTTATTTAACAAAAAAAAGTTTTTTGGTGTTTTCTTTTAAAGTAATACATTTAAAATATTTTGAAAATTCATTGAGAAGGCATGTGCCTCCCCCCCTACTACTACTCATATGCCTTCAATTCACAATGATGAGATGGACTTAAAAAAATCATGTTGCTTTCTGATTGTTTTTTTTCTTTCGAGAACCCGCCGTATAACTATTCTGTGCAATCATTTTTATAAAGTGAAATTTAGTGAAAGGGCTGTTTCTACCAATTAGTGAAGGGGCGTTTTCATAAATTAGAATTTTGTGAATCGGTTTTATTTTTTAAGTTTAAACTTTGTGCAGTGGCCATTTTTTAGAATTTGAATTTTATAAAAGGAACTACAAAGGCGGCACTGATTACCTCCTGGATCAAACTCTGCTAGTATATATTTTTGTAATGTTAATGTAAATAAATATTTAAAACATTTTTATGCACTTATGATACGGCAATCTCATGTTTTAATCTCCATTTTTGTTTAGATTGGAGTTGTTTTATTGAGTTTCAACTGTAATTTCCAGGAAAGTTCCCGAGATCAAACGAATTATATAGGATGTGAAATTTACGTAAAGGAAGGATTCTTAATTTTCGATTGCTCTCCTGACTGTACTTATAGTTAACCCTATAAATATATATTGGGACTTAATGTTTAGATTTATAAATCAAAAATTTGAATTCATCGAGGAAAAAAAGGTTTGTTTGTTCAGTGACTGTACGATTTTGTGTCTTACTCCTTAACTTTATTTAATAATAGCCCAAATAAATTTGCTTATTTGAGGATAACCTTCTGAACCGTTATTAAAGGTGATAAATTTTTTTTGAGGAGGAAATGGAAGACACTAGTAACATTACATCAGTCAACAAAACATGGACATTTTATCAGTTAATTTTCTCTATCTGTTAAAGGAGAAAAAAAAAATTGTATGCACAAACTAAGATTGATTCTAATAACTAAATTTGCATGACTTACAAATGATGTGTTCAATTTCTAGATATGGTTGTGCTTTTTTTTTCATTATACTTTATATGGAATTAAAATGACTAAGAAAGTAGAAAGCAATTTTTGAAATCGATCATCCTTAGTATAATTTATTTCTTCACTTGAATGGAATTTTATTGAACCTTTATTCTTTAATGGAATCCAGGAGTTATGTTGTATTCTGGATTGGGTTCAAAGGCTACGGAGTTGAACATTAATAGTTGTAAAATCAGAATTGGGTGAGTTGTTAAACACCAGCTGTAAAATAATATATATATACTACTCTACAATAATCCAAATTTTGAAAAATACATACTTTACTACAAAGTTTATTGGCGATCGAAATGGGCTACAGGTGGCATAGAGCAGAACTCTCTTCGGCAACACTTTGCATGCTTTCACCATTACGCGTGTGGAGAGTCGAAAGAGAACGAAATACATTAGTTTCAGTCTTGATTTTCAAATAGATTAAAAACTTTTTAGTTAGGAAACTATGTGGAACTGAAAACTACATTAAACTTGGTTCTAAAAGAAAACGTCGTAAAAATTTCAAAAAATATTTTTAACAAGTAAATATGAAAATTATAGTAGTAAGAAAATATCGTAGTACATTCCTATACAATGCAGCAGAGGGAGGGGAGAGTGTTAAGACATGGAACCGGTCTTCTTCCCAGATGGCGTATTCGCTTCTATGTACTTATTTTACAACAAATTCCAACCAAATTTGATTAAACAAATTTTTGATTAGTAAATGCATAATGATACTAAAAATAGTTTAGTGAATAACATCAGTGTAAGAATTTTTGTATTCCGTAAAAAAAAAATGTAATGTAATGTTAATTAAATATAATGTAATGTTAATTAAATATAATGTAATGTTAATATTAAACTAATGTTTGATGTTAACCAAAGTTTATAATTCAATAATGTATGTAAACTGTTATTATAAAGTAGTTTTTCTAAGATTAGAGTATACAACTGTAAGGAACCATTGAATAATCAAGACCAATATTTATGTAAAACAATTTAAAAATTATTATTATTAAATATTATCCGTAATGTATTAATAATTGTGAAATAAATATTATTTGAAATGTTTTTATAATAAATGAATTCATAATAGGATGAATGAAGATAATTAGTAAAATGTAAACTGCTAAGAGTAAAGATTATTAAAGGATATGAAAGTATATATATTGCATAGATTAAACAAAAGAGAATTGAGGATATATCGATTTAATAAAACGCAAGTTGGTAGTTTTAAGGTGCTAAAACGTCAAACTGGCACCTCAGAAAAGCAGATAAATTTTTTTTTATTGCCTGAAATATTTCTATTAGTAATTTTTAATAAATATTTATGTATTTTTAATTATTATATTTAATAATAGTCGAAATATTCTGTAATTGCAAGGTATAAAAATTTTACGTTATTTAATTTTTTAAATTTTCACATAATTTGATTCTAAGAGTATCTTCGTGCGATGAATTAACTGAGATATTTTTATTATGAAATCAAAAGTCTCATTAATCAAGGAAAATTTTTTTAAAGTAGAACTTATTATGGAAAGTATTTTTCTTTTTATTTTATAGCCGTTGTTGAACAGCCAATCCAATTTTAGGGTTTACGAATGCTAATGTTCAACTCCGTATCCTTGTAATTTTGAACCCAATCTAGAAGAGACAAGAGAATTTCTGGATCAAGTATTGGAAGAACTTTGCATTCGTGGAGGTTTTTTTGATGGAACTAACCTGCGTTCGCTTTGTATGGTGAGGAAAACAACTAATCATCGCAACAATTAGCCTGACGCATAACTCATGACTCTAACCCATGATCCGTCTACCACTGAGGATATTTTACGTAAGCACTGTTTTCGGTGCAAGTCGGATGCGGAATTCGTATCGGCCAGCCATCGCTGGGATTCGAACCCGGTTTGCCTAATTGGT